GAAGAGAGAGAGAGAGTATTAAACAGAAAATGTTGAAAACAACTATGGGAATGTAGGAAGTGGTTTCAAAGTTGGCAAACATGGCTGGAGTTTCAGTGTTGAAAGCATGGCATCCAAACATCACCCATGTCATTGCATCAACAGATGAAAATGGAGCATGCCGAAGAACACTGAAGGTGCTGATGGGCATTATTGAAGGGAAGTGGATAGTGAAAATAGATTGTGAGCTCTCTCTCTCTCTCTCTCTCTCTGTGAGGCTTAATATTCTCTTGGGTTCTCAGCTGGAGATGTTTAGCAGCTATTCTTGACACTTTTGGTTTCGTTACACAGGGATCAAAGCCTGCTTGATGGCTATGCAGCCTGTTAATGAGGATTCATATGAAATAAGCCTCGATATCCATGGCATCCGTGATGGTCCATGTAATGGCAGGCTTCGAGTTTCTGGAAAGGTCTATATTCCCTCTGAAATGTTACTTTATTTCTCTTTGTAAATCCGTAGTTACCGTTCATGGCTCCTAACTCTTACCCCTAGAAATCATCACATTAATCTTGTCCTGTCTAAATGCCTTAAGCATTTTATAGGAGAATACAGCTGAACTACTAAAACCAACTTGAAATGCATAATATAGCTCTAAGTTGGGTAGTGAGTTTTTCATTGCTGATCCAGTTTGTTATACCAGATCTGCTTTTTTCATAACTGATCTCAAAATTTCAAGATCACCATGTAAATTATAATCCCTCTTTAATGGCTATGAACTTTACTGTAAAGAATGTCTCTTTTGTTGTAATTGCAGAAGCCCAAGTTATTTAATGGCTATGAGTTCTATTTTTGCGGAGACTTTTTGGCTTCTTACAAGAAGTACTTGCAAGAGATGGTTACTGCATCAGCGGGAACTGTGTTACAGAGGAAACCCATTCTCAAAAAGAGAGAAAACTCCATAGAAAATGTCACTCAAACAAAGAAAACTTTCATAATTTACAGTCTTGAGCTCCCTGAAAAGTCCAATTCTGGCCAGAGAGCTCTAATTATGGATCGAAGGAGAGCTGAGGCTCACACAATTGCAAGTGGATTAGGTGCCCAAGCTATAGGTCACTCGTGGATTTTGGACTCCATTGCAGCCTGCAAGTTGCAGAATCTTCATAGCTAGACTCTCTCTCTCAAAAATCCTCTAAGCAGACTCTCACACCCTTTAGAATCCTCTTAGCTAGACTCTCTCTCTCGATCTCTCGACATGCAGGGTCTGTTGATAGCACAGAACCCATTGAACCTGCAAGTTATAGAATCCTCATAGCTAGACTCTCTCTCCCTGTATGTAGAATTCTTTTAGCTAGACCCCCTCTCTCTTTGTAGAATCCTCTTAGCTAGACTCTCTCTCTCTCTCTCTCTCTGTTAGTCACTAGACATGTACTGTCTGTTGGTTGCTGGATATACACACTCATGGTAAATCCTTGGAACATATAATGATATTTCAAAGAAGGCAGAGGTATTTAAATAACTGAGTTAGTCAAATGAAATTCCTAAAGTGACCAGTATCTAGCTTTGTTCGATTGCTTTTCCACCATCCTACTATTTTTACTTGAATATGCAGAGGGAAATAATGCATTTGCTTCAGCATCAAACCTTTGATCAATGTTAAAATATATTACTTGTGCATTATCTTTCTATATTTTCTGTTGAATAAATGTGCATGTTACCTGTATAACTGTCGCATCCCTTGTTCTTTTTCAAAGGGGTATATTTATAATATCCAAGGCCCTGTTTGGACGTCTTATTAACCATATGAAAAAGCCCTGTCTTTATCTGTCTTTATAGGCGGTCATCATTCATGAAATAAAAACTCTTTTGGTCACAATGACTTGAAACAATATTCAAGATTTTGTCAATGGCAGTAAAAGAGGCAACTATAATGGAATATTTATTGCTGTGGCTAAAATATTGTACATCCAAATGGGACCAAAGTTTCTAACTAAATAAAGAGTTTCCTTGTGCTACTTTCCTTAAAATCTGTTCCACTGTCAACGTTAGAAGAAATGAGTGTTGGAAAAACCATAAAAGGCAAAACCCAAATGATAAAACCAAGAATCTCACTCTTATATAAAACAATAGGGGTTGTACACAATGAGACCATTTATTTTTAGAGCAAGGTCACAATCATCATTTGACCATTAGATTTGAAATTAGGTGGTTGAAGATGTATCATTGTTTAGGCAAAAAAATCTAATGAAACTTCTTAAATGTTGTAACACATTTTCATTTATTGGATTTTACATCCAATGATTAAAAATGATTATGATCTCTTTGTATTAAAAATAAATAGTTTCATTTTGTATACATTCTCAAGACAACAATGTCTAATGGATAATAGATTGCTTAATGTCTAATGGATAATAGATTGCTTAACAAAATAGATGAGGCTTGCAAACCCCTCTTCTGCAAAAATCTCTAAAGGTCATTGTCTTGCCATCATAAAGCATGTATCTCGAGTATCCAACCTAAAGGTTACAAGCTCCTGGGATTGCAAACTGTACACTTACTTCAGACAAAAACCAACCTAGGGGCAATGATTTGAATCACATTAGATGTACTCTAGAAAAAAAAGGTGCTAATTAAGTGTTTCCCCTGGAAAACAAAAAAAACAAAATATTAACCAACTTGGATGGCCATATCTAGGTGATTAGAAATTCAAATTTAGTTCTTGTTTTAAAATTATTCGTTGTGATTCTAATGTGATATCAAGAATTAAATCAAACAAATACTCCTTTGTGGAGTATTTACCTGAGTGTACAAGAGTACAATTCACACCTGCAGGAACACGCCATACACACACATGATGGACAATGAATGCTCTCTCTCAAGGTCTATACGTAAAGTGGGGTTCCTCCACTTGAGAAGTGCACATATGCAGCCTAAAGTCTCTCTCTGTCTCTCTCTCCCCCCAAGCTCTAAGAAAGTGGGGTTCCTCCACCTGAAAAGTTCACATATGCAGTCTAAAGAAGGAAAACTCAAATGAGCAGGTCATATACATCACAAATACTTACACATACAAACCAGGCAAATCTCTCATGGATGGAAGCTAGAAAAAGTGCATCCAACCCAAAAGAGTATGAAATCATCTCTCCAATTGTCAACAATAATCATCTCTTCTTTCCTCTTCCGATGACAAAGTCTGTTAAAATAGACCTTGAGAATGCTTCACAGGGGTAAAAAGAGAATTACATGGACAAAAAATTGCATTGGAAAATTCCATGATATCATTACAATGCTACACATATACGTGAGAGATGTTATAAGAAAAAAGAGTGGGAATCTCAAGATGTCATCTGAAATTGCAGCAGTGTGCACGGCCCTTAAGCAATTTGCCCCAGAGACAAATCATCTGTCGTGGCGACTGATAATGGGCCGTGTAGTAGTCCTCGAGGCACCCATATTGGCAAAACTTCCAGCTATGGGAATACTGAACAGGGTAAGTGATGTTAAACTCTTCGACCCACATCCCCATGCTCACATCCTCCATCTTGAACAGCTGAAATCATATGCAAAAAGTCAACAATCACATGCAAATTCAACAGAGAGGATGGTTTAATTAGTATCCCATAGAATGTTGGCATGTTACATGTTAAAAGACAATAAATCTCAGGTCATTTGAATTCAATCTTGAAGAGAGAGAGAGAGAGAGGTCGCTTCATACCCTGAGACTGTGATTAGCATGTTGAGAGACGATAAATCTTGCGATGTCACTCGAAATGATGTACCCAGGCCCATTGGCATAAGGGGGGTATACTTCCTCAAGCCACTCCTGTTTCAATTTCTTGTAGTGTCACTTTAGGTGAGATAAACAAATAACAAGGAGCAGTGCCAGAGGGTAAGTTTTCTATAAAAGGATGCAGACACAAATAGTCAACTGCAACCTTTTCCAAAATGCTGAGTTATTTATAAAGTATACGATAAGCCAGTGGTCTATGGAAAACAATAGTCCATGGCATTCAAATCATAGTCCAATGCACTGGATGGTGATGGACAGAGAGGAACCAACATTGGGGTAATGTCCCGGTTCTGATGGGTTCCACTCTCCATCACTGTCCATCATATCATTGGACAGTGATGACCCCATTATACAATGGTTTTTCGTGTCTCCCTATAATTTATTGTCCTTATAATTTAGAGAATACTATGCAAGGCAGCAGTTGTACATAGCTCTGGCCCAAATCTCTCTTTTTTGCCAACTTAGCAAGGGGTTTGAGCCGGTACCCCACCCCTCCAAATCTCGTTAGAAAAATTAGTCCCGACACTGAAAAGTGTGAAACTATCATTCACCATGACCAACATGAATCTGAAAAAAATTGATTTCGAGTCCTAAAAGAGATCAAATAGTTGAATCTATTTCAAGTCTTTATAGATTCATCAGGTCTGCATCTTTGCCGAACTTCAAATCCATATGGATTTTCAAGCCATCACGCTATTTTCCACTGCCGGGACTGGTCTTTCCAGTGAGATTTGGGACAACTGCAGCCTTACAAAACACCCTAGACTTTATTGTTCAATAAAGTGTGCGACCCAGCTATATTTTCAAGGATATTAAAGATAGTATAAGAGAAAGAAAATTCAGAAATTCCTGTCACCAAATACCCACTTAACGTTAGAAGGGGTGACGAGAAAGTCCTTTCAGTTGGTGTCTAAAATCTGAGAAATCCAGTGTAATATGTTTCTAACATGAGTCTAGTCATAGACATCTTGCAATAGAGTACCTCTTTCACTTTTTTATACTTAAACTTGACTACCAATTTAACGATGGGAAAGTTAATTACTTTGAAGGTTCGCATTAAAACTGGAGGTCTTTGTCTGTTTGAA